TGTTATTGTTGTGGTTACATTTAAATTAACTTCTTTTGGAAAATAAAAAACGTATTTGAAATTCCTAAATAAATAGTAAATAATTCACAAAAAAAAAATGCATACCAAAATATACATTACATCCAATATGATAAACATAATTTAAAAGAATAAATATTCTAGCCCCTTTAATTGTAAATTTAGCCTGCAAAAAAGTGCAAGAAAAATCATTAATCATTATATGCATACAAATAACTCACAATACTTTATTTATATCTGTGCAAAGCAAATGCACAGGTCGAATACTAGTATATATAATTGTTGAGAAGCTTCAATAAATTTTATTCAGCCAATAATTAATAATAATATGAGTTCATTTAATAAAAATAGGTGTTCATTTAATAAAAATATGTCCACCATTTAAAAAAAATATGTAACTTTTGGTTACATAATTTATTTTGATAGGTCTCATTTTGCATGATGTTCATTTCTAAAACGTGTTTTTATGTCATGAATCATGAAATACAAAATGGTTTTGTTTTTATTTTGATACTATATATTTTTTGGTAATATAAAAATACATATTTCACAACTAATTAAAAAATGACTACAGATATCTCTATTTTCTATTGCAGTCATAAAATAATAAAAAATATTATTTAGATATTAAAAAGATATTTGAAAAATCAAATCTCAGAGTCACGAGTTGAAGGGGTTTAACGATAATGATTTGTCATGATAAGAATTTTGACGATAGGAAAACTACAAATAGTGTATATAAAGAGGTGTTTAATAATATTTAGATTCACTTTTTTGAATCATTCTTTTTCTCATTTATTATGTTATGATTTTTATTTTAATCTATATTGTTAGTTACTTTCTCTTCAATTATATCGTTTTTTGTGCAAATGACAAAGTAAAACTAGTCTATCTAATGGCTAGGATTGGGTCTTACATACTCAATTTATTCTTTAACACATTTTATTCGTTACAACAACATCAATTTATAATATTAACAACTTACAAATAACGAATTTCAAACACATTAACTAATACAAAAAATATCTCTACTTAGTATTGACTCATTTTGGCATCACATCACCGTGTCCACTGCATAATCTATTGATTAATTTAAACTTTTAAAAATTATATTTATTATTTTATATATTTTGATATGTGATAAGTTATGATTAATTTAATTAAATATAACCATTTTTAATATCCCTTAATATAAGTAACATTTAAGTTTGATTATTTAACTCAAATAATATTTATAAATTAGCACTTAATGCAACTAATTTTTACAATCACCTTCAATCTTGTTGTTTTAATGTGACAAAAATTAGAAAAGAAAAATTAAATACGATTCATATAGCAACTAGAAAAATGTTACAAGTACATAATAAATGTACATAAAGGCGTACATAACACTCATATGGAGTGGAGTCCACATAATTTTTCTTTTTATTTTTAGTAGGTCTCATTCAATGGGAGTGTTATGTACATCCGTACAATATTATGTACCTATGGCATTTCTCTAGCAATTATTTCACTTGAATTTTTCGCTCCAAATTAAATCTTCGCGGCCCAAATAAAGATTCCCAACAAAATTTTGTTTTTCATGTAACAATTGAGTAACTTATCACAAAAAAAATTCATGTTACCACGTATTTAATTATAAAATTAATTTTAATATTAACATCATATTTATTATATTTAATTTTTTTTAATAGTGCTTTCATGCATTGTACTACAATAAAATTATTTATAATACTGCTATCATGTGCATTGCTCGGGTGCTTATTAGTTGATATTAAATATTTATTATCTATATAAGTNGCGTTTAGAATTAGACAAAAATTTTAGATTTTAATTAAATTTGTAATTTGTAACTACCATAACTGATTTTATAATTTTTAAATTAAATATTTACAAGACAAACCATGGACTTTAGACTAGTTTATAAGTATATTATAAGTTTGCGTTGGTATGTTTAACAGAATAAATAACATTGTCGATTAATCATTATATTTGAGACAGTTCTAAGAGATAAAGTTGATGAGATCCACCGGTACAACTTGCTATGGCCGGTTTTTATTCCTCCAGTGGCATTAATCGCATGCATCAAGTGTAATATAAAAATTTGATGTGTCAATTAGTATATGATTTTAAACTAGTACGTTGGTTTAAGTTTAAAAAGCACTATCTTATCATCTATTTTTTACCTCTTTTAATCACTGTTAAGTTTAAAAAATAGGGTTATAATCTATTTTTTACTTTTAATCAGCGTTATTTTTTTTTCAGAACATTAAATATAATCATGCTAGAGCTACTGTAAAATAACTAATATATTATCTCACTAATATATCGATACTAATATAAATTTGATTTTAGTATATATATTAATCTATTGATACAGTTTTGCTTATTCCTTCACCATATAATACTTAATTATTACTTTCTTATAAATTTTATTGACATATAATATGATAATTATTTATAAAAGTTATAGAAGTTGTACGTCTTTTTTTTCTTTTTATTTTATATAATGAAAAGTATTTAATGCAGGTTAGTATTATTTATTTATGTAACTAATTTAAAATATGTAAATAAATTTAAAATTAAATAGTGCATTGATATTTTACAAAACATACACACATGTTTTTTCAGAATTTAATTTTGTATACCAATTAAACCTCTTTGGTTTAGAAAATGCCAAAAACTCAATCCCTTCTATAATCAAAATTTTTCTAATTTTCATTATAAGGATTTATAGTTAATTTAGCATACTCTCCAATGAAAATATATTTTAGAAGTATTTTATTATAGAAAGAAATCACAATAAAAAAAGGGTAAAAAATAATCATGGTTGCCAATAATATACAAATAAATTCTAAAGAATAATTAATATATTTCAATTTTAATTTTGGACCGTTAGTAAAACTATTTAATGTATATGGGCATGATCTCTTAAATGGTAAATTATATTAATTTGAAGAATAATTTATTTTTTATATATAAAAAAAATAAAGCTTAAGAAATAGTTATATTGACAAAGATTAATTGACCAACTTGATTTCTCCTTATTAATTAGAAGAAAATTTTTTACTGAACTTGATACGATTTACTATAAATACTTTTGGATAAAAAGTAAATATTGGTGAAAATAAATTAATATTATTGTTAGAACTTAAAATATGTTGTAATATTTATCTTCATCAAAATATTATCAACATGAATAATTTTAGAAGAATTTTATGATAGAAATAAATCAAAATAAAAAAAAAAGATAAAAAAATAATCACGGTTGCCAATAATATACAAATAAATTCTAAAGAACAATTAATATATTTCAATTTTAATTTTTGACCGTTAGTAAAATTATTTAATGTATATGGTCTTGATCTATTAAATGGTAAATTATCTTAATTTGAAGAATAATTTATTTTTTATAGATAAGAAAATAAAGCTTAAGAATTATTGGCAAAGAATAATTCACCAACTTGATTTCGTCTGATTAATTGAAAGAAAAAAATTTACCGAACTTGCTAGGATTTTCTATAAATACTTTTGGATAAAAAGTGAATATTTATGAAAAAAATAATATTATTGTTAGAAATTAAAATATGTTGTAATATTTATCTTTATCAAAATATTATCAACATGAATCACGAAAAATCAATCTTGTGATTTATTATAATGGATATCAATAAAATTATTCCAGATATTAATAAAATTATATAAGGAAACAATACTTTTTATCATATATGATTTGATCTTATTTAAAAACATGTATATAGATAATACATATATTTAAGAAGTTTTCAAGAAAAGGCATGCATTAAATGATTCCAAAATTTTTTATTACTATTTCTAGTAAATGGTTATTCTTATTATATATAGATATAGATTATTATTTTCTTATAAATTTTGTTGTCATATAATATGATTATTATTTATAAAAGTTATAGAAGTTGTTCGTCTTCTTTTTCTTTTTAGTTTATGTAATGTAAAATATTTAATGCAGGTTAGTATTATTTATTTATTTAATCAATTTAAAATATGTAAATAAATTTGAAATTACATAGTTTGTAAATATTTTACAAAATATACACACATGTTATAAGGATTTAGCCAAATACCAAAAACTTAATCCCTTCTATAATAAAAATTCTTCTACTTTGCATTATAAGGATTTATAGATAATTTAGCATAATATCTAATGAAAATATATTTTAGAAGAATTTTATTTGAAAGAAATCAAAATAAAAAAAAAATAATCATGGTTGCCAATAATATACAAATAAATTCTAAATAGCAATTAATATATATCAATTTTAATTTTTGAGTATAACTATTTAATCTATATGGTCATGAACTCTTAAATGGTAAATTATATTAATTTAATGAATAATTTATTTTTTATAAATAACAAAATAAAACTTAAGAAATAATTATATTGGCAAAGATTAATTCACAAACTTGATTTCGCCTGAATAATTGGAAGAAATTTTTTTTCCGAACTTGATAAGATTTACTATAAATACTATTGGATAAAATATGAATATTGGCGAAAAAAATTAATATTATTGTTAGAACTTAAAATATGTTTAATATTTATCTTGATCAAAATATTATCAACATGAATCACGGAAAATCAATCTTGTAATTTTTTATAATAGAGATCAATGAAATTATTGCATAAATTAATAAAATTATTTAAGAAAACAATATTTTTGATCATATTTCAAAACATGTATGTAGAAATAATTAGTGGGTATATTTAAAAAGTTTTCAAAAAAATGTATGTATTAAATGTTTTTAAATTTTTTTTTACTATTATTTGTAGTAAATGATTATTCTTATTCGGTCTTATACAATTCCAAAGCATGATTTTAATAATTCGTGAAATGCATTACGGGGTTAAAAAAACGGATATAAAGAGAGAAATCCCAAACAACAAATTGGGAGTCGCATAACAGATATCGAAGCATAACAAACAAAATTTCGACGGTTACGCAATGGAGCATATCCGCAACGACCTTGACGACGACGGCGAAGCCACCGCCGCTCACGCTCACGGAGACCCCGCTTCCGCCATTCAAGCGGCCGTCACCACTGTCAACCTTGCTCCTGCCCATGTGCCATTGGAGTACCCAAGCTCTTCGCAGCCAATTGACCCGTTGGATTTGGCGCCGCTGTCCGAATTGGAATGGGCTAGTCTGCTGCATGACGCAGGGTTGTCAACTGACCCAACCACCGCCGCCATTCAAGCTGTCGCCGCCGATGACAGAGACCCCGCCGCCGTCGCTGTCAACCGTGAAGACGGCGAGCAAAATCCATCGTCGGTGCAGTTTCCCCAAACTCAATTGCCTCTATCGCAAGGCTTTCAGAGTTGTTCGACAAGGCCGCTTTCTTACTCTGCAGTTCAGCAAGGCGGCGACGCGACGCGTCACCAAACCGACCCAATTTCTCGGGATACTTCTGAGGGTCCGCAATTTCTTGGCCACGACGAAGGCAATCAAGAAGCCTCCGCGGCCGACGGCGACCCCACTTCCGCCGTCGCTGTCAACCCTGAAGACGGCGAGCAAAATCTCGCTGTGAACCCAAGCTCCGGCGGATTGGGCCCCATTTCGCAGTTGCCGTCTCTGTCAGATTTGGGATGGTCTACTCCCAATCAGTCTCCGGAGGCGCAGTTTCTTGGCGACGACGGCGACCCTGCTTCCGCCAACGCCAATCAAGGAGTGCCAATCAAGAACCCAGTCTCCGGCGGATTCCAGAATCAAGACACCGCCGGCATCTCGCATCAGCAGTCAACCACTGGCGTCTCCCATAATCAAATTCCGTCAACCGCCGGCGTCTCCCATCATCAAATTCCGTCAACCGCCGGCGTCTCGGCAGTTGGCCCAACCGACAAGGGAAAGCGTCCATTGATTTCTTCTGAGAGTACTTCTGAGGGTCCTCGGCGCCGCAGGACACGAAGATCATCCAATCCGTTGTCGCCCACGGTGAATCGGCCAATTGCCTCGCAGCCGCGGCAGCCAACGCGTCCTGTGGGTACTTCTACGGGTCCTTCGGCCACTCTGGTCCATGTTGTTTCAGGGCATTCTCTGACTCAGCCGTGGTCAACTCAGGGCGTCTCGCAGCCGAGTGGTCCTTCGCCCCCCAGGCCACCAGGGCCACCACCGCCAAGGCCAAACTCTTCCTCTACCGTTCCCCCTCAGCAAGGCGGCGCCCCAGGTCCTCCTGTGCTCATTGTGCACTTGAGAAAAGCCAACAGAACTTGCCCCGACATCGGGGCAGTGAATACATTTTTCTGGGCATTCGGCATAATATCTCGTATTGAATTCTTTCGAACTTCCCCTGAAACATTGTACAGGACAGCGAGAGTTACCTACACTTCCGATGAGAGCGTGCGTAGGGCACTGGTCAGCACAGACGGCTATGTCATGGGCTATTGGATCAGCTGGCACCGAGAAATCCAACCGTGTCCGGATTGCCAACAGATTCTATAGAGATATTTGGTCTTTGGATTCGGGAATGAGTAGATTGATGGATTGCGCTCTATTTTTTTTTTTTTCCTGTTCATTTCTCATTTCTGTTCTGTTGATTTCTGTTCCCACCATTTGTTTTCTCTTCACCCGTCGGCCCTGCCGCACAGCAACTAGCCCGCCGCCGGCAGCTCAAGCCTCGCCGTCCGCCGCCATAGCCATCCTCATCCTGTTCGATTTCTGCAGAATCGGGATTTTGGGGATTAGGTTTTTTTGTTTTCTAGAAATTCGATAATTAAAAGGGCATGATTGCAATTACACTAGATTTTTTATATATTACAATTTACTGTGTGGGGAAAATGTGCAATTAAGTAAAAGCAATCACATTAGGTTTTATATATTAAAATTTAGTATGTGGGCAAATGTATAATTTTAGTAAAAGCATTATATGTGCATAATATAGTACATAAAATACACAATATAGCATGTGGAAATGCACATTAAAAAAGAACCGGTATAATTTTACGAAATTACATAATCGCGTTTCAATCAATTCATAAATGTACCAAAATTTACTAAAATTAAATAATATATATATATATATATATATATAATTTACGCGAAAAAAATACTAACAACATTTATATAAAAGTATAAAAAAATAATAAATAATATTTATTATATAGTCCGGTTGGTTCACTTATTTAAGTTATTTAAGAAAATAATCTGACATCGTATCGAAATAAATGATTATTTAAAATGAAACAAAAAAAAGGAAGAAAAGATAATCATTTTGTAATATAAATTTACAAAAAAAAATAGTCGATTTCGTTCGATATTGTGCAATCTGATAGTTATCAATGTGCAATTCAAATAACACTATCATACACTCGTAGCGCAAATGTTTTCAATTAATTTTTTTGCAAACCAAAATAAAAATCAAATCGAAATAATCGGATTATTCTATCGATTACAATAATCGAAATACTTCATTATTTATATTATAAAATGTATTTATAATTTTAATATTTATATTTAATATTTATATTGTTCCTTAATTGAAAAGACATAATAATAAAATATCAAATCAATAATGTGCATTCACACATACATTGACGTGCGTTTCGTATAATATTATTATCCAATCTATTGATTGATTATTTTTTATTTGTATTTCAATCATATTAACTTGAATAATGTTTTTTCAATCAAAATTATTTTGCACTTTTCAACTTATTTATACAATAAAGATAATTTTAGTTTATTAAATTTTTTATTTAACATTCTATATTATTGTTTGTTGAAATCAAATAAAAGAATGACAACAAAATTCATTGACAAACTAATGTAAATTCATGAACGCAATAATGTGCATTTAGGCTAATAATATAGTGCAATCTAACAATCATTAATGCGCATAATGTTTAATTATATTTTGCATTCCGCCCAGGTTTTTTTATTTGTACATTCAATTGAATATAATTAAAACAATTAAAATATTTATTATCTATTATTGTAAAATTTATTTAATATTTTAATATTATTTTTTGGTTAAAAATAATATAATATATACATATGTTTAAAAATAATAACTTTTTATATAGATTTTCAAAATTATAGATTTGGCCCAAATGTTAAATTGAAAATAATCTAAATTTAAAAAATTGCAAATAGGTCCTTTATAGTTATCTAATTTCCAATATCAATCCCTAACTTCAAATCCCACTTTTTTGTCCCCGTCAACCTCTGAGCAACACATTGACAGGCAGCCCCCAGCCCAGCTACTACACCACCACCAATCATCAGTTTTATTTATGAATTTATGCTCGTCTTGTGTGATTTCCGTCGATCTCGTCCCCAATTTTTCATGGCAAAGGAACCCGCCATGGAGTCGCACAGAGGTGACGGGATATACGACGGAGACCGGCGGATGAGGATAATGCGACGGCGTTCGAAAGGCTGCGAGCGGAGACCACGATGGGAGGCGCGGCGTCATCGTCGTCGGCGGAATGTGTCGACGCTGCGGCACCCGGCCGTCAGGTGCAGGCTCGCCGGCATTGTCGGCCATCTGGAGGCAGTAAAATGACGAAACTCTGACCTTCTGTTGGGCGGGCTCGGTGTCGGAAGTTTTGCCGGTGAGAATCGACAGCAAACGACGGTGAAACATGGCGGCGAAAATGGTGACCGGAATGGCGCCGATGACTATCGGAGGCGGAAGTCGGCCGTGCCTGAGCTAGTGAGCCTTGTGCTGTTGGTCGTGAAGTGTCGCCGACGGGAGTTGGCGGAAGAAGCGTCGCCGGCAATAGTGGGGCGTGGAGAGAGAGAGATATGTTGGGGCGTGGAGAGAGAAAGATGTGTTGGGGTGTGTGTGTGTGAGAGAGAGAAAGTGTTTTGTGTGTGTTGGGGTGTGCGAGAGAGAGAAAACTGTATTTAATTCAAACCTGGTGAGAGGAGAGAGAAAGTTGTTGAGGTGTTTGGGGGTGGGGCCGTGTGAGTGGGTTTGTGTTGTATTGGGTAACACTGTATTGGTCAAAAAATTTACCACATTACTTTAATAATTTTGACTTTTTTTAGTCATTACATCATCTGATCCAATGACTACAGTTTATTCTTATTTCTTTGAGCAACATCATCATGAGAGCGCGATATACATATATATAGGGTCGCGCTCACATGAGAATAGTCCTCAGTGAAAGAAATAAGAATAAATCATAGCTATCGGATCGGATGATCACATGGCTAATAAAAAAGCCAAAATTATACATTCATTAAGGGTATTCTGGATATTTTTCCCAATTACCCCTTCTACACACAGGCCCCACTTACACCCACCACCTACCAGGCTGTCACAAATCGCGTGATTTTTTCCAACACCACATCTCTCTCTCACACACTCCACATGTCTTTCTCTCTCTCACACTCACACACACTACCCTCCGCACACACTCACACACTACACCGGCCAACCGGCGGCGGCGCACACACGCACGCGACTCACACACACACACTGTACACACACACACACGTCACATACACACACAATACACACACATCCACGGCCGTCTCCTCCGTCGGCCACCGCCTGCACCGCCACATACCACCGCCACACTCATCCAAACATTGACAATCGCCATCTTCATTGTCCCTCCGTCCACCTCCGCCATCCTCAGCGGCGAGCGCGACCAAAATTCCGGCCAAACCTCCACCCAAGCTCCGCCCACATCCGCACTTCCGCCCAACAGCACATCTGCCCTCCACCCAGCCGCACCTTCGCCCATATCCATTCGTTCGAAGTTTCAGCGGCGGCTCCGGCGACCGGTGACCTGCTACCGGAAAGTCCGACTTTCAACAGTGATTTTAGATTTGTGGGGACAATTATTGGTAAATTTGATATTTTACAAGAACCTATATGCAAATTCAAGATTTTTAATTAATTTCAATGTGGTACTTGTGTCAAACTTGTAATTAACAAAAGGTTTATAAAAAGTAATAAAAAAATTTAAATAAAAAAAATTAAATAAAATAATAGAAAGTATTAAAATAATATAAAAATAATATAATGTAATAAATCAAATACTGAATTAATAGATAAATTTTAAGAATATAAATAATATGAATATTAAAATAGTATTGGACATGTTGCACTTTAATGATGGACAAGTTGCACTTTTGTGCTTTTGAGATTGCACTTTAGCGTAGCATATGTACCGACCAAAATGACTTGGAATATACATGTATATATATTTTTTTTGTACAGTTTATATATGTTGGTTTAGTAATTATTTTTTACTTTTAAAATTTTGATTATTCGGGTTCGATGTTAGTTTTATATATTTTTAACTAACCAATAGACCGAAATATTTAAAAATTATTATTTTATTTTATATATATTATATATTTCCAACTAAAAATAATATAAAATATTAAATAATAGTATAAAAATACTAAATTTAGTTTTTATAACATAAAATAATAAATATTTTGTTTATTTAGGTTAATACGGTTATATGATTGAATAAAACGATTATTTCGGTTATGTTTAGTTTGATTTGGGACAATTCATTCAAAAATGCTTGCACTGTGACTACACAATAGTGTTAGATGACTTGCACATTAACGACTACAGCGTTGCACAATAATGTTAGACGAATTGCACATGATGACCGAAACCAAATGAAATAAAATTTCATTTCAAAATCTTACATTTCAATTTAATTATCTATTTTTTATTTGTAAAATATTGATTATGTTAGTACAATATTGACAATATTTTTTAAAATAACCAAAACAAGCAAACCGACTACTTTTATAAAAAATATTTTTCCATATATTTTTAATTAGGAAAATAGTATTTATTTTCAGTTGGATAAATCTTAAATGTAAATATTAAAAATACTAAATATATTTATTAATAATTTAAATATTAAATTATTTTTAGTATTTCTGTTAATTGATCAGATAAACATATTATTTATATTCAATTTTAGTATGGGTTAGAACAGAATATTGAAAAAAAAAATCAGCAATTTAATTGCACCATAGCTTTAGATGAATTGCACATTAATGATTATCGTATCGCACTGAATCGATTGAACTAAATTTTTCAAATTAAAATTTTACATCTCGATTTGATAATCCATTTTTACTTCTAAAATCACGGATATTTCAGTTCGAGGTCGATATTATCTTTTCAAATAACGGAAAAAAAAAACTAAACTACTAAACTACATAAAAAATATTAATATATTTTTTTTATTTCTTATTTTTTGTATTTATATGTGTTGCAATTGCACAATATTATTATACAAATTGCACTTCAATGACTATCAGATTGCACTAGTCGTCGAAACCGACTGACCTAGAATTTTTTGATTCGAAATTTTATATTTGATTCAATTATATTTTATTTACTTTTTAAAATATTGGTTATATGTGTATTTATCAAATAATATTTTACACTTTCTTTCTTATTATTGTGTAGTTAATATATTTTTCATAAATTATAGATTTGACCCATGTATTTA